AGATAGATAGATAGATAGATAGATAGATAGATAGATAGATAGATAGAGATGGTTAGATAGATAACAGACAGATGATAGAAAGATAGACAGGCAGACAGACAGATAGATAAAGACAGATAGATGGATATATATAGACAGGCAGACAGAGACACACATGATAGAGAGTCAGAGATAGACAGATGACAGATGATAAATAGATAGAAATGGTTAGATAGACACATGGTAGACAGATAGATAGATATGGATAGACATATAGATGACAGAGACATACAGAAATGGATAGATAGGTAGACATTACAGATAGATAAGGATGGATAGCTAGATAGAGATGTTTAGCTAGATAGATGACAGACAGATGATAGACAAATAGACAACAGAAATATAAATGACAGAGTAGACATGAAAGATAGATAGATAGATGGATGGATGGATGGATGGATGGATGGATGGATGGATGGATGAAAAGCGTAAGAGAAAAAATATTGGCTCTGCAGACAGAGAATGTGAGTTTAAATTCCATCTCTGATGCTTACCATCTATGTGACCTTGACAAGCCTCTGGACCTCAGTTTCCCAAATAGGCAAAATGAGGGGGGTTGGTCTAGAAGGCCTCATAAGTGTCTTCCAGCTCTAGATCTTTGAGATATGGCTATATCTATAGATATAGATATTTATCCACTCAAAACCAGTTCTCCCTCAACTAAAGGAATTCACTTGAACAAGCATTTATTGAGTGCTTACTGGGTGCCAAGTCATGTAGATTCAGATAAAAATGAAACATTCTTTGACCTCAAGGATCTGAAGATGTGCTGGGGGAACGGGGAGCAACATATAGAAATATAAATACAAATGAAATTGATATAAAGTAGATTACCATGAAAAGCAGGATGGGAACAGAAACTCAGATCTTCATAGGAGGTGTTGGAAGTGGGGGGGCATTATGCAAAGTTTCACCTTTTAAAGGGGAAGACTAGACTCTCACGTAACCACAACCAACGTCTTCGGGAGAAACCTGCCCGTGCCTTTCTTATTCTAAGAATGGCAGCATGGAGCGACCTCTAGAATGCTGAGGAAAAAGGAAGTTACATGGCTGCCTTCCAACTGGCTTCCTACACTGCCAAATTAGCAAGTGAAAAAAAGCCGACTCTCAAGGATCATCGCCAAGTGTTGCAATGCATCAGCATCATGAATCACACGTCATGACATCATGCATCATCATGAATCAGGGGAAGACAGAAAATAGTAAATCGTTGCATTTGCACTAACAAATACAGCATGAAAATCACCACTATGTGTGGATGCTTCTCATTAGCAAATAGAAGCTGGAAAGCATGATGTTAACTAATATGGGCAGTGGGGAAGCCAGGTGTCTTAGACTGATCATTTGTATGTTCACTTGGACTACCTTGATTATCATAGGCTACAGATTTTGAAGGCATGAACATTTGGGGTGGGATTTGAACCGAGATGTCTCCCTCTACAGCCAACTGTCCAGTAGCTGTTAACTGCAAGTAAACCTGAAAACCTGAGAGGGCGGAGAGGGGAGCAGGGTAGAGGAGAAGGTAAAGGTACCTACTGAGGGACTTTTCTCTAAGCCACTAGTTGGAAAACAAGTTGTTAATCCCACCATATGACCAAGGTGTTCATTAAACCAATAAATAAGACACGAATGCACATTGACTCACCAGGATTCAAGGTTCTCTTTCACAAAATAGCCAGCCTGGACAACGTACTTTTTGGCTTCTGGTAGCACCTCCATCAATCCTCTTCCCCATTCTTGAGGTGGCTTGCCATTCAATGCATAAGAGGTAAAGAGAGCAGAGACGACAGCCCCAAGGTAGCCAGTGGGATGGTGATGGGTCATGCGGCCACTCTCTATGCTCACTTGGATCAGAGTGTCCTGTTGTTCAGGGTGTGGGAACCTTAGTCCAACACACATGGCACGCATAGCAGCGCCACAGCCCCCCTCATGCTTGTTGAATGGAATCCTCCATCCATTGGGTTCATCTGGCTCCAGCTTCAAAGCATTGGCTACACTGGCACCACCTGGAAAGGATTAGGGTGGGAATGTATCAGTACCAGCTGTAAGCTGGTGAAACCCAGCTTGACTAGTTTGGCCTCAGCCCTGAGAGGGCATGTATAGTAAGGCTTAATTAACCTAGGTACATACCATGACACACCCCCACCCAGCCTCTTTTATAGAGGTGGGAAGGGGAGAAAGGAAATAAACATTTATATAGAGTCTGTTATATGCTAGGCACTGTGCTAAGTACTTTCCAAATATTACCTCATTTGATTGTGACTACAACTCTGGGAGGTAGGTTTTATTATCATCCCCATTTTACAGTTGAGGAAACTGAGGCAGATAGTAGTTAAGTGACTTGCCCAGGGTCACATAGCTAGTAAGTGTCTGAGGCTGGATTTGAACTCAGGTTTCCTGACTCTGGGTCCAGCACTCTACCATCATACCACCAGCTCCCTCTTCATAGTTAGAATTAAGTTTCTTGGGTCCCTACTTCTCATTTCTCATTCCTTACTAAACAATTCAGAGAATATCATTGTTTCAGTGGTCCTTACTACTTCATTTTTCCAACCCGCTTGTGATGGGGAAGCCTCCTATTACTGTCACACCAACTCTTTGTCTAAAAGGTCTCTATATATTTGAGCCCTGTGTGGGCCTTGGATCAGAGCGAGTATCCTTCAGTATATCTGAGCCATCAGCTGTCTGCTACCTGTGTAACTACTGACAGTGAGGGCTGAATACCTCTGCTCTTCCCTACTGGTATCTGTCCTCCTTCCATAATTACTATCCCCATGTGTCACTATCACTCTTCAAGAATAGATCCCATCTAGGGCCCATAACGTAACACAGTCGATAGCAGCCCTGGGGATAGGAGCCCTGGAGACAGGAGAAGCTGAGATCAAATCCAGCCTCAGACATTTATTAGCCATATGACCTTGGGTAAGTCACTTTACCCCAATTGCCTCAAAAAAAAGAAAAGCATTCTTCTCTTTTACATTGCATTACCTGTAAGATTTGGGGTGAAAATAGCCTTCAAAGAAGAGGGATGAGGAAGAAGAAAGAGGAAGACGGATGCTCATGAAGCATCTTCAAGGAAAAGGCAAAGTACACAAAAGAATTTAAAGTCACCCAACCCAACTTATCATGCAACATCATTAGCAGATGAATCAATTTCCCAACAAGAGTTTTAACAACTAAAGTTTCTAGGTATTACAGAAAGACACCTAAGTGTAGAAAGAAGAGCAGCAGGCATCAGAAAAACTGGACTCTAGTCCCAGGGAGGCAGCATGGATTTGTGGATGGGCAGCACTGGACTTGAGGTCAGAAAGACGAGTTCAGATCTCACCTATGACACTTATTGCATGATGCTGAGAAAGTCATTTACCTTCTCTATGATTCAGCCTCCCTATCTGTAAAATGAAGAATGTGAACTTGATGGCAGCTAGATGCTACAGTAGATAAAATGCTGAGTCTGAACTTAGAAAGTTGTTCAGTTGTTTTAGTTCAGTTAACTCTTGGTGACCCCATTTGGGCTTTTCTTGGCAAAGATACTGGTGTGGTTCGCCATTTCCTTCTCTAGCTCATTTTACAGATGAGGAAACTGAAGCAAACAAAGTTAAGTAACTTGCCCAGGTCACACTAGGCTAGTAAGTGTCTGAGGCAGTATTTAAACTCATGAAGATGAATCTTCCTGACTACAATCCCAGTGTACCACCTAGCTGTGAGACAGTATAAAAAGATGAAGAGGGTTAGGCAAAGTGCCGTGAGATTTGGTAAGGAGAAAGATTGCTTTCACCTGTGGAGGCTGAGGGAAGGTTTTGTGGAAGAAGTGGCACCTGAGGTGAAGGAAAGGAGGGTCTTCAACAAATGAAGAAAAGGGTGGGATGGGGAGAATCCATTCCAAGCATAAGGAATGGTGTGAATAAAGGCTCAGATGGCAAGTGGCATACAGAGAATGAGACAAAGAGAGGTAACAACTTTAAGAGAAGGAGAATCTGATGTTTGTCGGACAGTAGAGAGCAGCTGAAGACTTCTGTAAAAAGGAAGGACAGGATCAGAGTGGAAGGAGATTTGGGTAATGTTTTATAGGTTACATCAGAGGGGGAAGAGGCTGGATGCAAGAAAATGAGTTAGGAGACTATTATAAAATCTGATAAAAGAAGAAGTAAGGGCCTGAACTATTATGGATGCAGTGGGAATAGAAAGGAAGGGATTGATCATAAATTCAGAATTAAATGGGACCTTAGGAGTGATCAAGTCTATTCTCTCATTTTACAGAAGAAGAAACTGAGACACAGAGTGATGAAATAATTTGCCCAGGGTCACACAGCTACTAAATATCTGAAATGGAATTTGACTCAGGAGTCACGTCCTCCTAACTCCCAAGTGGAGCACTCTATGAACTATATCATGTTGATGCTAACCCAACAAGCCACCATTATGTGAAGCCTTGAGTTACTGAGGCAGTAGCATCAAAGGAACTTGGTGACTGAGTGGAAGTATAAAGGAAGGGAGGGAGAAGAGTCAAAGGAAACCATGAATTGATAATAAGTTACAAGTCCAGATGACTTGAGAAGGGAGTGGAGTCATCCACAGAAATGGAGAAGTTAGGGAGGAGGGAGACGCAATTCATAGGAGGGAAGATGATGAGTTGTTCAACGGGGAGGTATCGTGATGAATTAAATTTTATTCTGAGTCATCAAAGAGGATATATCCAGTAGAAAGTTGGTGTAAGATATGGAATGTTGGAAAAACGAAAGGAGACTGGATTCCAGAAATAGGAAATACCTCTCCCTGGCAAGAACAGCAGCCTACTAGATTAGATGAGCTGGGAAGCACATTATTTAAGTACTACAAGAAAAACTGGCCTGTATCAATTTCCCTGTAAGGTCACAGGATGATAGATTTAGAATTGGAAGGGACATTAAAAGCCATCTAGTCCAATCCTTTATTTTACAGATGAGGAAACTAAGGCCCAGGGAGGTTAAGTGCCTCAGGTGCCTCCGGTCACCTGGGTAGCAAGGAACAGAGGCAGGATTTGAAACCAAGCCATCTGACTCCAATCCATAGTTCTTCCATTTTACCACATTAGAGTTACAGCTATTTGACAAAATGGACTGGTAATGATCGAAGGACCAGAAGAACTCTCTGTATTCCAATCTAATTCAGCCAACATTCCTCTTCCATCTAATCACGCTTGACTTCCCCATTCCCAAGATGATGATTACCCGGAGCTCGGCCAGCCATGTCGCTCATGCATGCTTTATAGTGTCTTGCTATAAGGGAATACACCCAGGTCAGGTTCTCTTCTTTCCCAGCAGCTATGAGGGCTTCTGCTGTTGCCAGATGCATCACCGTATCATCACTGACTCTCCAGCCTTCAATATCGACGGCATCCAAACCTCCACGCTCGGCAAGTTGCTTGTGGATCTTCTCACCATCCAATAGGAACTCCCATTTCCCGTTGAAATATCCCAGGGAGTCACCTACCGCACTTAGTACCATGGCAGCTACATATCTCTCCAGTAGTCCTTCGGACATGGTGGGCCCCAAAAAGACCTTCTTTGGGAAGATCTGCATGACATACAAAGGAAAAGAACATACCATCTGTGAATGCCCAGTTTAATTCTGTAAGAGGCCTGATGAAGTCAAATAACATTCTCCTTTCAGTTTGGCCCACTCAGACCTTTGGCATGTCCTAAGCACTGTACCTATAAATAGTGTGCACTCAGAATTACTGTACTCCTCAGCTCTCATAGAACATTTTGCTTTGTACCTCCCTAATGCACTTAGGCTTCATATGTAATATTGTATGTAACAGCTATCAGTATTGCTTCATCTGTAAGCTCCTTGAGGGCAGGACCTGTTTCTTATCCTAACCTTATATTTTCCTCAGTCTCCAGCACAGTATTCTGCACATAGTGGGTGCAGAATGCTTATTTATCTAAGACTATGTTCGCCCTTGGTTACTAGAGCTATTTAAATAACCACACTGATTGTTCCAAATCCTCCTCACTCCTCAAGCCTCTGATACCACATATTCCCCTCACCCTCTTAGTGGAAGACCTTTCCTCATACTTGATCAAAAAATATTGAAGCCTTTCCCTGAGAGTTCCCTTCACTCCAGTGTCTGATGAAAAGGAAACCTTTCTCTTTGCCAAGACTACCTCCTCTACATATACCTTTTCATCCTACCCTCTTCTGTCTTTCTCTGGGGCAGATGGGGCTGCAGTGGATAGAGTGCCAGGCCTGGATCAGGAAGACCTGAGTTCAAATCTGGCCTCAGACACTTATTAGTTGTATGACCCTGGGGAAGTCACTTAACCCTGTTTGCCTCAGTTTCCTCATCTATAAAATGAGCTGGAGAAGGAAATGGTAAACCACTGCAGGATCTTTGCCAAGAAGACCCCAGGTAGGGTCACAAAGAGTCAGACACAACTGAAACAACTGACCAACAGCAGTCCCCCAAGGCTCTGTCCTGGTCCCACTTCTTTTTTCTCTATATACTAACTTACTTGGTGATCTCATCAACTCCTGTGGGTTTAGTTTTCATTTCTAATGTAGATGATTTTCACACACACACACACACACACACACACACACACACTCATGTCTAGAATGCCCTCCCTCCTTTGCTCTGATTACAGACTTCCATAGCTTCCTTTCAATCCCAACTAAAATTCCATCTTTCATAAGCAGCCTTCTCCAACCTCCTTTAATTTTCATGCCTTCCCTCTGTTAATTATTTTTTATTTACCCTGTATATAGCTTGCTTTGTGTGTATTTGCTTGCATGTTTTCTCCCCCATTAGATTGCAAACTTCTTGAGGGCAGAGACTGTCTTTTGCCTCTTTTTGTATTCTCAGTGCTTAACACACTCAGTGCCTGGTATATAGTAGACACTTAATAAATGTTTATATATGTATACATACATATGTATATGTGTATATATGTGTATCTACATATGTTTGACTGCATGTGTGTATGCATATCTCACCCTAGTCTCTCTCCTGAGTTCCAGTCTCATATTACCAACTGCCTTTTAGACATTTTAAACTAGATGTCAAATAGACATCTCAAATTCAACATGTCCAAAACAGAACTTATCTTTCCCTCTAAACCCACTCAGTTTCTGAATTTCCCCCTATTACTGTTCTTTTATTTATTTATTTATTTTAGGCAATGGGGGGTTAAGTGGACTTGCCCAGGGTCACACGGCTAATGTCAAGTGTTTGGTCTGAGGCCAGATTTGAACTCAGGTCCTCCTGACTTCAGGGCCAGTGCTCTATCCACTGCCACACCTCACTGCCCCTCCCTATTACTGTTGAGGACACTACCATCCTTCCAGTCACCAACTTCATGCCCTCAGTATCATCCTGGACTCCTTACTCTCTCTCAATCTTTCATATTCTATCAATTGCCAAATCATGTAATTTCTTTCTCCACAACATCTCTGGCATACTTCCCTTTCTCTCCACTTATACAGCCATCAGCTTAGTTCAATTCAACAAACATTTATTAATGTGCCAGGCACTGTACTCACTGAATTTAACCCCTCATTCCTCCTCACTTAAACTATTACAACGACGGCCTTAATCTCTATTTTTGCACTAGCTTTCTCCCAGGACTGGAAGACTCTCTGTTCTTATCTCTGCATCTTAGAATCCCTGCTGTAGGAGGCCCTTCCCAGTCCTCAAAATAGGTAGTGCGTGCACCTCTGATTTTACCTCACATCAACTCTGTGTTGCTTTTTATCTTCCTTTTTATGTCCATATTATCTACCCCATTAATAATAATAGCTAGCATTTGTGTGGCACCAGCTATGTGCCAAGCACTGTGCTAATTACCTTACAACTATTATCCCATTTGGCCCTCACTATGACACTGGGAGGTAGGTGATACTATTATTCTCATTGTACAATCAAGGAAACTGAGGCAAACAGAACTTAAGTGACTTGTCCATGGACACATATGTAGTAAATGTCTGAGATTGGATTTGAACTCAGGACTTCCTGACTCCAGAGTCAATGCTATACCCACTATGCCACTTGGCTGCCTAATTCATATTAGAATGTGTACTCTATTGCTTCAACTCCTGATACATGTGATGGACTCAAATTGTAGGCTGAGACATTTTTTGGACATAGCCAAGGCAGGAATTTGTTTTACTGGAATTTACAGGCATTGTGTATTTATTACAGGGTTTTTAGTTTCATTTTGGTTTTTTATTTTTTTGTCTTTTTGTTTTTGCCAGTGGAGGGAGAGAGAGAGAGAGAGAGAGAGAGAGAGAGAGAGAGAGAGAGAACAGATTTTTGTTCATTAAAATAATTAAATTAAAAAAAAAAGAATATAAACTCCTTGAGGGCAGGGACTGTTTTTGCTCTTCTTTGTACCTCTGGCACTTAGCACAATGTCTGGCATTTAATAAATACATGCTTGTTGATTGATTGGATTTGGACCTAAGCTCAAATCCTGGTTCTCCCATTCACTGCTCCGTGTGACTTTGGACGTCACAATCTCTCTGGTTCTCATTGGATTCAATGACCCCTAAAATCCCTTCTAGCTTCTAATCTATAATCTTCTGACTGTTGAATTAGTGGTCTATCTACTTTAAATACTCTGGCTTTTCTTGGTGAACAAATTCCTTCAGTGTCTGTGTGGGTTTCTACTTTCTCAGGGTTTTCCTTTGGGAATTTTCAGAGCCATTACCTCACCTTTCCCAGTATGTTTCTTCCTTCACAATCATTGGTCATTTTACCATCAACATCATCAAATATTTAAGATGAGCTTTGTCATACTTGTAATAATCATAAAAATAATAATTGACATTTGAAAAGCCCTTCAGGACCACTAGGTGGGCAGTGCTGGACCTGAAGTCAGGAAGACCCAAGTTCAAATCTGGCCTCAGACACTTACTAGCTATGTGACCCTAGGCAAGTCACTTAACCCTGTTTGCCTCAGTTTCCTCATCTGTAAAATGAGCTAGAGAAGGAAACAGCAAGTCACTGTGATATCTCTGTCAAGAAAACCCCACATTGGGTCACAAAGAGTTGGACACAAGTGAAATGACTGAACCTATATGTTCAGTCAAACTTCAAAGTTTGCAAGGAGCAAATTTATTATTTATTATTAAAATTACCTTATTTTTAACCTAATGAGAAACGTCCTACAGGTATTATACTCATCTTACAAATGCACAAATTGAGACTTAGAGAAAAGAAGTGACTTTGCCCCTGCATGATCACAGGGTTAGTGACAGAGACAGGATATAAACCCAAGCCTTCCTGACACCATCTCCAGGGCTTTAGCCTCTATGCTATGGTGCTAATATTTACAAATTGCTTTAATATGACAAAGCACTTGAAATATATTCCTCCTTTGATCTTTACAACAATGCAGTGAGGTCACATGATCACAGATTTGGCACTACAAGGATCCTGAGAAGTCATCTAGTCCCATCCACTCAGCAAGATGGTACAATGGCTAGAACATTGCAGTCAAAAAGTCCTGAGTTCAAATCCAGCCTCAGACACCTCAGACACTTACTAGGAGTGTGACCCTGGTCAAGTCACTTACTCCAAATGGGGATGATAATAATAGCACCTAGGTGGGTGGGAAGGGTTGAAGGTAAAAGGAAAAGGGGACAGCAGAGAATGAGATGGATAGATAGTGTCATGGAAGGAACAAACATAAGCTTGGACAGACTTTTGGAGATAATGGAGGACAGAATGGCTTGGTGTGGTCCTTGGGGTCATAAAGAGTCAGACAGGACTGAACAACTGAACAACACTTCATAGGGTTGTTTATGAGGATCAAATGAGATCATATTTGTAAAATGCTTTGCAAACCTTAAAGTGCTATATAAATGTTAGCTATCATTATTATTATTCCAGATGAGGAAACTGAGGTCCTGAAAGGTCATAGGATCATAGGTCATACAATCCAACTCACTCATTTTTACAGATGAGGCAACTGAGGCCCAGAAAGCTTAAATGACTTGTCCAATGTCACATAAGCAATATGAGGTGAGACAACATTTGAACCCTGGTCCTCAGACTCAGCTCTTTCTCCCTCCTTAATAAGGGAGCTGTTTTCCCCATTTTACAGACAAGAAAACTGAGTTTCAAAGAAATTAAGTAACTTGCTAGGGATCACACAACTAGTAACTAGCTCAGAATTGGGATTTGAACTCAAATCTCTCGAGACCCAGCAGTGCAGCAATTTCTTGCGGCCTTTCTAACCCGAAGCCAGAAGAAATTCCTCAAGGGTACAACATGATTTTGAAATATGCCAGTTGAGTGAGGACCCCTTCACTTTCACAGCTATGGAATCACATGCTCTAAAATAAGGCCCAGAGACAGTTGTTTCCTGACAATCCTGGGCTTTGTGGGTGGAGGCTGAGTGCCATTCACTCGCCTCATCAAGGGCTTTGGACAGCAAGCTATCAGGAAATCCTAGCCCGACGCTGCGGTTTCGGAACAAACTTTGCCCAGGGTCCGTTTACAAATACAACGAAACAGAAACCACTCAGCCTTGTGATCGGAGACCCAGCACCCACCCAGCTAGCTAGCTGCTAGCTGTAGGGATCCCTGGGGAAATCCACGCGTGTTTGTGCCCTGTTTCTGTGCCAAAGAGCCCATGGGGAGACAAATTCCCCTCCCCCCCCAATACCTTCACTTCGCAAGCTGGGCGTGGAGTTCAGAAAGAGAAAGCGCTCTTGGCCTTGGCCTGGGATCGCGCTCAGCTCAGAGTAGCCAATCGTGGAAGTTCACAGAGCCTGCGGGTCGGAGCCGGACGAGGCTCTGTCCAGAGCTGTCTCCCGGCCTGCTCAGGGTCTGCCCTTGCGAGTCGGCAAAGCGCAACGTTCATTCCCGGATGGCCGCGCCCCGGCCGGCAGACTTCCGGAAAACTTTGCGCTTTCTGAATCTTCTAACAACAAGAAGTTGGGAACAAACTTTATCCTTCCCCTTGCTCCTCGGCAGAAAGGGCCGAGGAATGTGTAAAAGGTGGTCCGACGACCAGAGAACGTTAAAAGTGGAATCTCATTTTACGAATGAGAAAACTGAGGCCTGGGGAAGACAGGGCGACTTCACACAAAAGTCAGGCAGAACCTAGATGAGAGGGAGGAGCTCTAGTGAGGCTTATGATGGCATGGAAAACATACCCAGAGTCAGGAAGTTTTGTTTGACTTTCAGAAGCAATCGTATGGAGCCTTTGATATATCCGAGTTTAATGCAGCTCGTATTTCCTTTTTCTTTAAAAAAAAAAAAAAGTCTTTTTTCTTCTAATTGTTGGTTTTTGTTCTTACAATCAATTCACTTCACAAAACCTCCTTCCCCGTTCCCTACTCAAAAGCCATTTCTTGTAACAGTGGGATGTGTTTCTTTTCATTCAGTATTTTTCCCTGTTCTTTTTGAATTTCATTTATTTGTTTTTATTTGTTTTATTTGTTTTTACATCATTTTCATTTTTAAATCCAACCCTTCCCTACTCAGTAGTCATCCTTTGTTACAAAGTGGGATGTTGTTTTCGTTTCATTTTGTATTCTTCTTTAATTTTCTTTTTATTGATATATTTTGTTTTAATATTTCCTCAATTACCAAATGTAATCCTTCCCTTCTCAGTAGCCATACCTTGTAACAAAGACTAAAAGGAAAGGGGGAAGAAAAACAGTTCAGGAAAACCAACCAGCCCAACAACCAAGTCTGATGGGATATACAGTGTTCTACATCGCTAATCTTCCTACCACTCCAAAGGAAATGAGGTGCGTTCTCTCAGCTCTTCTCTGGGGCCAAGCCCAGACATTACAATGACATGGCATTTGGTTTGGTTTGGTTTGGTTTACATTGTTGCAGTCATTGGATATGTTTGTTTTTCTTGGTTTTCTGCTAATTTAATGCAATATCAGTTTATATGTTTTCCCAAGAGTCCCTGGATGCTTCATGCTCATCATTTCTTTCAGGACAGTAATATTTCATTACATTCATGTACCACAGAGTGTTTAGCCATTCCCCAGTGGCAGGTACCTACCTAGTTTCCAGTTCTTTGCTTTAAAAAAATAAAAAGTGTTGCTATGACTATTTCAGATTATACAGGATATTCCATTCTTTCTTTGATCTCCTTGGGGTATATGATTGGAGTGGAATGTCTGGGATAACGGGCATGGAATCAGTGTAGATGGATACCTAGAGATAGATGAAGACAGGTATATAGGTGATAGAAATATAGATATGTGATAAATAGAAATATAGATAGAGACAGGTAGAAAGGGAGAAACAGAGAGAGAGAGACAGAGACAGAAATAGAAACAGAGAGAGACAGACAGAGAGAGAGAGAGAGAGAGAGAGAGAGAGAGATTCCAAATTGCTTTCCAGAACAGACCAATCCACAGGTCCATGAGCAATGCACTCATCTTTCCCTACCCCCTGCAACACTGATTATTTATCTTTGGTCATATTTGTCAATTTATTTCTAAATCTTAAAAGTGCTTTCCCACAATAGTCCTGTGGAGCCAATAATGAAGGTATTGTTATACCCATTTTACAGTTGAAGAAATGAGGCTCCTAGAGGTGATGTGAATTGTCCATAGTCATTCAGTTAGGAAGTGCCAAAGCCAGCACTAAAACTTAGGTCTTCTGATTTTCTTCACTATCCAACACCACAAATGAAACAGATAAAAAAGTGGTTTTTTTTTTTTAATTGTCCAAGGATAGTGACTTTCTAGCCCCCTAATTCCATACTATAGTAACCTCAGATTACCTTCTTGATGGCATTTAAAACATGAAATCGTTATCCCCATGGATCCTACTCAGCCCACTCTTGGACTACACCCTGCTCAGACTCACTGAGTTTCTACGAAGTAGCTTTTATATTGATCTTGGCAAAACCATTGTGATTAAGAAGGGAAATCTGGGGCAATGTCAACTTTCAGGTGTCAGGGGACATCAAAGCAACCACTGAAAGTGATTTTCCCCGCCTACTCCTCTGGTGGCTTTCAGGATCAAGTCTTTTTCCTAGCCTAACTGAAATTTCTGAATTTCTCAGATTTTGAACAGCTATTGTTTAGTAGCAAAGGAGTTTTCCCAAATATGCTCAGAACTCTGCAGGAACTTTTCCAGAATTTATAGGAAGACTGGCCTTCAGTCATTTTTCAGTATGTGTCATACAAGTGGAACTTGTCAGTGTATACTGAAACATGCTTGTCATCTCCCCTCCCGATCCCCACATAGTACAATCCAGTAGCCTTTCCATTTATACTGTCCATGCCTAATTAGATAATAATTGGTCTTAAAAGACAGAATTTTGAAATTAGAAAGAAACTTTTGTTCAGTCATTTTTTACTCTTTATGACATTTGGGGTTTTCTTGGCAAAGATACTGGAGTGGTTTGCCATTTTCTTTTCCAGCTTATCTTATAGATGAGAAAACTGAGGCAAACAGGGTTAAGTGACTTGCCCAGCGTCTCACTGCCCAGTAAGTGTCTGAGGCTGGATTTGAACTCAGGAAGATGAGCCTTTCTGACTCCAGGCCCTATCCATTGTGCCATCTATCTGCCCAGAAGAGAACTTAGAGGTAATTTTAAAATCCTTTGCATATAGTAGGAGCCTGAGGCCCAGAGAGATGAAGTAAATAATTTGTCCAATATCACATAGTCAGCTCTTGGCTAAGTTGGGACTAGAATGAAGTCCCCCTGACTCACAGTTCTGCTCTTTCCCACAATTTAATAGATTTAAATTACTCCATGAAGCTCCCTACCACCTCCCTTCCTTCACAGGTTGTGCTTGTCCTTTGTTCTTAAACAGGACCGTGACATTAGGGAAATGATGACATGACTTGCAATTGACTTTGACTTGAGTGAGGGGGGAGGGCTGTGCAAGATCACCAGCCTCACTTTTTCCTCCACAGCCATCTGGTCCAGTGACCAGATATTCATCAGGATGACTAGAGATGACCCAGGATGCAACGGGAGACCCTGGTGCTTTTAAGCTGTCTTTTCAGGTTCTCACTTTGAGTGAGGTAATGCCCATTTAGTGAATAGGCTTCTTTAAGAAGTGAGTACCAGCTCTGTTTCTTAGAATCTAGCCAATAGCCCATAGATGCTCAGATTCCTAAAATCTAGCTACTGCCTAGATTCTTATAATCTAGCCATAGCTTGCTAATGTTCAGACTCCTTAAGAGTCTGCCCAATATGATGGATGTTCTAATAAACTCGTTTTTGGCTCCAAGAAGGCTTGGGTCAAATTCTTTTGGGCAGAACCCAGGTGTTGTGATTTTGGGATTCCAGGACCCCTAACCTCTAGACCGCATCATATGGTTCCCTGCACCGGGAAAAACTGCCTATACCAAGCTCTTCACCAGCCGAGACTGGAAGGTGCATAAACCTTCCCTCTTCCCCTAATCCCCCCCCCCCTTTTTTTTTTTTTACCTTTCAATTGAGTGGATTTCCAAGCAACTAGAAAGGCTTGGCTTAGAAGTGCTTTTCGGGCCTGACCTCTCAGGTCTCATTAGGTCACACAGCTACGAGGTTGTCTTGAACTCAGCCTGACACTCTCAGGCTCTTGGTCCAGTGGTTCTGTTTAAGACCATGGACATGGGCAGAATCGTAGGCCCATTCCTCTCAATTCTCTCAGTGCCAGGGACTGGGAAAACTTAACTTACTTCTTTGGGTTTTTGACTTTTTTGTCTGTTTCTGGAGTCTTATTCCTAAATCTTCTTTTAAGGAGGGAGGGACTTCCAGTCCCCACACCCACAAAGGGTCAATCCTCTTCAATTCCTGAAGATTTGCCTTTGGGCTGTCTTTTATGAAATTGGGAAAAATTTAGTTTCTCTAAAGAACTACAAAAGACAAGGCTGGTGTTCTTTTGTAACACCATTTGGCCTCAGTGTCACCTGGAAAATTATGAGGCATGGCCCATTTTTGGGACATTACAGCAAAATATGCTCTCAGAGTTAAAACGATATTGTAGCAGAGAAGGAAAATGGGTGGAGATTGTCTACATAATGACTTTTGTAGAACTTTCTCGGGACCCCATTCTCTGAAAAGATTGTAGGATACTCATAGCTAGAGCCACCCCACAAATTGGGAATGGGGATCAATTAGACTTTTTGGATGACCCTCTTTTTATGGCTCCCAGGGCTATAACATCTCCCCATCTCTACACCCTCCCTATTCTCCCCAATTTCCCTTGGCTCCTCCTGTTTCCCATCCCCCTCCTTCCTTGCCTAACCCCTCTTTCCCTTGCTTTTCCTCCCCTTTTCCTCCATCCCAACCCCCTTCCCAACCTGCAATTTCTCTTCAGATCCCTGCTCAGGTTTTGGCAACACCTCCTCCCCAGGCCCTTTACCCAGAGGCAAGGACCACCCAGACCTTGGCCTCTGCCCCAGCCTCAGTGGTATCTCCTCCCTTGATCCCTCCCCCTCCTCCAGTGTCAGCTGATTTTTCCCCTTACCAGCCAGATCCCCTGGCTTTGCAGTCCAGTCCAGTTTAGCCAGAATTTCCTAGTCCCTCACTCACAAGAAGTGGGACTTCTTATCTCCCTACTTCCCTAGCCCCAGTTCCCACAGTGCCTTCAAGGCTTCTTCCCCTAAGGGACGTTCCTGTCCCCCCTAATGGGACAATTAGGGTGCATGTTCCATTCTCCATTTTGGACCTCATTCAGGTCAAAAAGAAACTGGGTCCATACTCAGAAGATCCCACTAAGTTTACTGAGGGCTTTAGGGACATGTCCCTACAATTTTAGCTTTCTTGGGGTGATTTGCATATCCTCTTTTCCACCTGTTGTACCACTGAAGACAAGAGGAGAATCTGGGAACAGGCCCCCAAATTTGGGGATTGTTTTGCTACCTATGACCCCACAAAATGCCCCCCAGGAACAGCTGCTGTTCCCACTGCTGACCCAGGAAGGGATTATCAGAAGAGTGAGGATAGGGCAAGGAGAGATCACATGGTAATTTGCCTGTTAGAAGGACTAAGAACTGCATTCCAAAAGCGAGTAAATTTTCAAAAAATTAAGGAAATTACTCAGGGAGAAAAGGAAAACCTTGCCCTTTTCCAAGACCAGCTAGTAGAAGCTATTAAAAAGTATACGAATTTA